TCTCACGCGGCAGATGACCCTATTCCAACGTGCCCAATCATGCCACAAGCGAACGCGCTTGACAATCATCTATAGGCAACTGTCACGTCAGAGACAGTGAGTTGCACACGGACAGACAAGGATGTCGTTAGTCCGTCCCGAGTCGGTGAATACAGCGCGCGGGCTTTACGCCAGCGGCACAACTGCTACCCGAGAAAACAATTCCGGGTTTTGTACACAATAAAGGCGTAATTAGACGGTGTCACCGTTACAACATATATAAATTTAGGATTATTAGCATTAAAGTCTGTTAATTGTAAGACTAGGAGACTTCGGATGCCCTGTAGGACATCGTTAAATACAGTAGGAGTGTCTGACGTCTCTTTAAATTGCTCAGTACTCCCGATGAAAAAAAACGGATATTATATCAGTTCTATTCGACCCTTGAGGATACTACGAATAAATAATATTGTTGAATAATACGACATACCACAATGTAGGAGCTCGGTGAGGGTGTGTACAATGCCACCATGAGAAGTTCGGGGGTCATTAGCAAGCGTTGGTCTAAGGATCCGAAGATACAAGTCCAGAGTGAGATCGCCGTTTCTGACAGCTGTTTCAAGGTATTTGTCAACGGCGTTTGCCAGTGAAGGGGAGAAGCGAATCATATCGGGTTCGGGACTCGTGAATTGGACCTCGTTTTCGATGTCACCATTTTCTAATTCATCCTCGCGCTGCCGGTAACTTGGGTCAGAATTGGCTTGTCTCAAAACGCTGTCGATTAATTTTCCGGCTTTTTGAGCATCAAATATTTCGATTATTGTGCACGGACTGAGAGTGAGGAAATCTTCGACGGTAAAACATTCCAGCAAGGACGCCGTGATTTCTAGAATCCTAGTTCGACACCGCCCACCTTTTCTGCAGGAATCTGTCAGTTGTAGGGCCTAGTTAATCGAAAACCCTAAAGATGTGAGAACGAGTACAGAACAAAACCGAAAAATTAGGCAATAAGTTGATAAACAAGTGCCTTTTCTAACCATAACCATGATGGTTATTCACTCATATTTCATATTACCTTCGTGCACCAAGTTAGTTCAAAATACACATATTTCTTCACTATGAAAAATCACCAAAGGTGGTCAGAATAGCCTCTAGTATGTATATTCCAGATGATTTAGGAAAATTTTTAACAACAAAACGTACAAATGAAACCTTTTCATGTCGCAAAATACTGAATTAGTGTTAAAACTCAAAGAGCCCAAGATGGATCAGCGTATTTTTCAGTGCAGCCAACAGCGACAAAATACTTAATGCATGCCTTTTCGTCCTTGCTTCCTTCGATTCACATAGCTTTTTGCTAAAACCAGAGAGGATGGAAAAAACTTGATGTTGACTTTGCGTGCTACATAGTGCATGTGTGCTTGCGCCCCCTTAAATGGATGCTGGACTAACACGGGGGCCATATTAGGGTACAGCGGGCATTGTTCACGTCGCGCTCCCATGAAGAATACCGGAACAGGGAAGGAGACATGGTGTCACGCGAAGATGTAGACTAACGCCGCGTCAGCCATCTGCGCTCTCCCCATATCCAGTCTTCTTGATTCTGTGATGACACCGGACGCAGATAGCGGCGTGGAACAGAGAGTGAAGTTGATACATCGCAAGTCGCCGTTGTGGAGCCCATAATGCATACCGTCGAAGCCGACGATCTGGTAGTTGTATCGGCTTGCTGATGCGCACCTGTTTGACGGCAAATCTTTGAAGTAAAACCTCATTTTTTCATTTGGTCCTATACGGACAGTTTATTCCTTTATAGTAAGAAGTAATTACTTTACTCAATATGCACCAAAAGTTTCATTTTTTATTCGTGCTAAGTAAGTGATTGCGTCACGTGACTACTAAAACAAACTTTTAAATGGAATTGAGACTTGGACAATGTTTTTGCCAAAATCTGTCCTATTATCCCCCAAAATCCAGGTGCTCGTAAATCGAAAACGGTTACTTTAATGTCTCCGCTAATGTTTTGTGACTCCTTCTAATGCTGTTCGCTAGTTTGTTTAGTTAACATCTGTTGTCGTTAAAAGATCTTAGTCTCATCTAAGGACTTCAAGGGTTAAACTGACTTAATTTTTAGACTGTTTGAAAGATATTACAATGCGCGAAAAGTAAAAGGAAATGAGCATGAAAATCCATACGATCTTTTTTCATTAAGATAAGATAAAGTTATTGAATTTTCAACGATATGGCTTGGAAAATTATCTACTGATGTGACGGCCTATCCCTTCGATCCGACAACCAAGCCTTGATAATTCCTCAAAATTGAACCAATAGCAGACCTCTCAAATTGAATAATGGTTGTTAAGGGACCAGACCCTGGGCACCAGTCGAAGGGCGCAACTTCAGTTGAAAGCAATCATTCCGCCTACCTTCGTTTTCCTTGAGCTAACGTGACCTTACTGTATTGATAATAGGTTAACGAGGAGACAAAGAACGGTGGACGCTACAAAAGTCTCAACACGGATTCATCAGAGTTATATTTTAGATAACTCTTATAATTAATTTTTATAAAATAAAAAATCTATAGTTCTTATTTGAGCTTCTTTGCACTTTTGACCTGTCCCATATTACTAGAAGATATCGGAATCGCTGAAGCTTATCACTGTTGAAATACCAAACTAAAAACGTTATCTAAGTGTCTTGATCATTAATAGATGTGAGGGCATTTTCTTTATTAATAGTTTAAGTGGAAGTTCTTCAGTCTTTCAATGTCACGTGTCTAGTCTACGGAAGAGGAGCTAGATCAAGATAAAAAATCTTCAAAATGTCTAAGAAGGCACTGATAATGTTATATAAAAGACAGTGTTTACCCTTGATACTTGATTTTTTATAAACCACAAATAATTCATAGAACATTCCAATCGATAAAAACCAGAAGGCTGGTGCAGTTAATGAGCATTTAATGTACATTTACCTCTTTGCACCAATTCACTGATACTGTAAATTTTAATGGTGCTTCTTGTGGAAGCGCGGACAAAATTGCATCCATTGAAGTGACGAGAGCTTCTTTCTCACCAACAAAGTCGATATCCTTGAGAAGCATTTGGAGCTCGTCAGTTTCTACTGAGGAGTTGGATTTCTCAGGCGACCCTGACTCGTTTCCTTCATCAATGGAGGAATGGGAGTTTTTTACAGTCGGATCGGGAAATGGGTGTTTTCCAAATCCTTCTAATGTTGATGTTTGTTGTTCAAATGAGTGTGATTGATGGTTTGGAGTTTTCCTATGTAATAAACGTTGAAACTTTCGCTGAAGGTTTAAGGCAACAATAGTAGCGATTGCAGCATAACTGGGAGCCGTATTATAATTTTCCCGGAGTATTTTCAGAAGCAGTTTGTCTGGAACAAAGCTAAGATATCTCGTTATTTGAGGGTCATAAAGCAAATTATGGCGGGCTCCGTTAAGGAGTGGACTGCTGGACCTGGCACCGAAAATTTGCGACTGGACAGGCCGTAGCCACAATTCCATTACAGTGTTATACGCTGTCACAAATACGTCGTTTTCTTCAAAGTTTTTTAAGTAACTCGCATACGCTAAAATGACAATTGCTGGTATAATCTTGTTATAAGATTTCGCCTCTCGGAAAACGCGATCCAAGTATTTTTCAGTCCTTTCAATCAAGCCATTACGGCCCGTCATACTGAGAACTTTGGCGGCCGAATTAAGATATACGACGTTTGATGAAGTTATATCAAATTCTTTTCCGTAACAAAAGTCTGCAACCTTTTCGAATGTTGACGCACCACCATCGAGTGAATCAATTTCGATGAAAGAAGTATTTTCCACGGCATTTTTAAAATATTCAGACTTAGTTATTAGAGGAAACTTGTGAAGATGGAACGCAACACCATTGACGGAAATGGTTATATCTGAAAAATCGCCCGATGTGCGAAGCGACTTTGGATCCATTTGGGATAAACTTTTAACTGACACCCCGCTATCAGTCCAGACAAACAGTTTACATTATCGCGCTCAAGGTTTCTCAAGGTCATAAATGCGTCCAGCTATGATGAAAAGTACAGTCGGTTAAGGGTGAGCAACAAATATCGCAGTTATTGGTATGTCGTCGATGTTAAGATATTTTGGTCATCAAACCCGGATGAGTAGTGCTTACATGCACACAAGATGGCTTAAAAGCGTTTGTTTTAACAGGTTGTACAATTATATTTTAGTATGTTATGACAAAATGAATGGCATATTCTGAGATAATCCGCGCATTTTAGAATTTATTTGTTAGAGGATGCTAATGCAACACTATATAAGTCAGTGTAGGCCATCGATTGTCTCCAACATATCATGTTTAGGCTTGTACAGTCGTACAAATTCGACTTCTCCGGGAAATTACTGACGAAAACAAGGATAAAAGATAACCTTTTTTTGGCTTTTTACATTGGAAACCAAACTTAACTAAATCCAGCTTTGTAGAACACTAGCCTCGATTCCACATTCATTGTTTATCAAACATTATAAAGTGTGACGACCTAACCGTTAAGCCACGGGATCATTCTTTTGTCAGTCGTATCGGTTGGATTAACTAAGGTATTGGGAGAGGTTTGACAACTGACCGCGGGTTCGACTCTCAGGACTTGCCACGCACGGATTGCAATAATGAGGCACTCCGGGAATAAAAATTTAAATTTACTATTTATACAGGGTGTCCCAAAAAAATGTATACACTGTGCATAATTGTAAAAATTGGTGTTTGTCATATTTTTATTATTACAAATTGTACAAATATTTATAAGTACCTTGACCTTTGACCCTGGCGCGCAACTCGATTTTCCGCAGCTAAGTAAAATTTCAAATTTTTTCGTATCCTATCCAATTTATTGGCATAATTGTTGTTCATAATTTGAATTTCTTACCCCTAAGCCACTCCACAAACCGGTGGTCGTTTTCTTTAACTATAGGTGAAAATATTCAGTTTTCTACTGTTTCACCCGACATAGCCCCCTGGGAATTCTCTAAAATTCGCTTATAAAACACGTAATTAAGTACGTGAATGTTGAACCAGGTTGTAAATTTTGAAAGAATACTATATTTCCAACGAGAAATAGTGTACACTTGTCGAAATATCAACCCAGATATTTTTCACACTACATAGCCTCATTATTTCACCTGTGGGAGCCT